GCATCTACAATATTATCTTCTTTCTTGTTCCTACATACCCAGCACCCTGTTAATGTGCTTTGGAAAGCACTGGAAGGTGGTCCACATCCCTGGGCCCCTGCACCCACGTGGGAGGCCCAGATGAAGTTCCAGGCTCTTGGCTTCAGCCTGGCCCAGCACCAGACATGTGGCCATTTGGGGAGTGAACCAGAAGAATCAACTCTCTATTTTACATTCTTTCATAATTTCTAACAATTTGCTTACTTGCTTTTTGTTTCTTCCCTATTTCAATATAAGCTCCATGAAGAGAGAAACCACAATAGCAGGTGTAAAAGGGAGGAGATACCTTAACTGGATATGCATAGGAAGTACCAGCTGTAGGTCTCTTTCGGCTGGGACGATGGAGCACTGCTATCATTCTGCAATCTGCAGCACAGGAAGAGACTTCTTCAGAACCTGACTATCCTGAAGCCTGATTTCAGACTGCTGGCGTCCAGAACTGTGAGAAATACATGTCTGTTGTTTAAGCCACTCAGTCTACCATACTTTGGTATGGCAACCTGAGCTAAGACACCAAGTAAAATGAGAATGCTCCCACCTTGTTTGGAACTTAACCAAAAATGCACGTAAGACATATGAACCAAAAGTGCTCCACTGCTGCCTGATGCAGCTACTTCTCCAAAAGCTACACTTGTGAAGGCTGAACAGTTAAAGCCACCAGCACCAGAGCTGGTGTCGCGGTGTCACAACATCATACGTGGGTGCCAGTTTGAATCCTGGCTACTCCACTTCCAGTGTAGCCCCCTGCAAAGCAGTCAAAGACGGCCAGACTCCCTGGGCCCCTGCACCCATGTGTGAGACCAGATGAAGTTCCTGGCTTGGGCCTGGCCAAGGCCGTCCTGGCCATTTGTGGATGAGAGATCTCTGTGTCTCTCCCACTCTCTTGACTCTGCCTTTCAAATAAATAAAACAAATATTAAAAAAAAAAAAAACACCAGCACCACATACACATACTTAAATGCTAGATGAACATCTCATAACTGGCATAAAAAAGAAATAGGTATCGTCCTCCTTCAGACACCCTCCACCCCACCTAGCTCAGTGCACAAGTCGGTGAGTCAGGCATGGCAAGACACAAACAGCGCTGTGTTGTTCAGAAAGACGCACTGCTGGTGCAGTGGAAAGTGATTCTGGTTGGGACTCACGACAGCATACAGAAACATTTCCTCAGGGAGTCTTCCCGTGGGATTTCTGCCTAAATGAGAATCTCACAGGACTCTATTAAATCACTGATTGTTTTTTGTTTTTTTAAAGTAGACAGTTCAGAAAGCTCAGTTTCTCCTCCCTCTAAAACTGGGCTCTAACTGCAGATCAGCAAGAGACAGCAACCAGCCTCCCTGAGACCTCTGTTAGAAATGAGGTCAAACATTTCAGGAGCTGTGTTGTAGAAAAGGGAACATTCTAAACACTGTATTTGAAAACATTAAGACTATAACTTACCAAGTCTGTCTTTCCTCCATTATGTTTGCATTGAGGATTTCCAAGCAGTCTTTAAACTTAGTGATTAAAAATTGCATGCGGGGTTGGGGGTGGGTGGGTGGGTATTAAATCCTGCAATGCCAGCATCCCACATGGGCACTGGTTCCAGTTTCGGCTGCTCTACTTCCAAACCAGCTCCTTGCTAATGGTGTGGGAAAAGCAGTGGAAGATGGCCCAAGTGCTTGGCCCCTGCCACCTATGTGGGAGACCTGGATAAAGCTCCTGGCTCTGACCTGACTCAGCCCTAGCCACTGTTGGCCACTTACGGAGTGAATCAGTGGATGGAAGATTTCTCTGTCTCTCCTCTGTCTTTCAAACAAATAAATAAATCTTAAATTTTTTTTTCTTACCCATCTTACAAGAAATAAGCAAAAAAGTTGGTAGCAGGCTATGGAGATCCCAAAGCCCAGGGCTCCACCTCTAGCAGAAGAGCAGCACCTATGCCGAATCAGCAAAGGCATCAGGTGTGGGGCACAGCAGAGAAAGGCAGCTTCAATACTTTGTGACTGGACTCACAGCTTCTCTGCAACGGGGCTGGGGCCGTCCAGTGGGGCTGGGGGTCTGTGGGCCCCTCAGACGTGGCAGAATGCCCTTCACAAGCAGGCTGCCAGCTGTGGCTGCGAAGCTTGTCTCCAGACCTGCCAGCATCTCCCCAACTAGAGCTTCTTGGGCTGCAGGTGTGACCTTGTGGTTTTAAATCACATCTTCAAGTTAGCTGCAATCTTCCACCCAGAGCTAGCAGAGGCTGTCTCCAAGAGACCCCCACTATCTCCATGAGCCCCAAGCCAATCAACATACAGTATGTGAGGACCCCCCCCCCAATCCAATGGGCACCCCTATAGAACAACCCAATGAAAAGAAAGCAATGCCTTAAAAACTCTGCGCACTTCTAGAAAGCAGGTTCTGGTTCAGGCACTCTGCCTGGCCTCCTCTCAGACCAGACGCTTTTCTGTCATTAGCCAATCAAATAAAAGTTTCCACTTCTCAGCAAATTATTTCCTGGCTTTTTATTTCTATACTAAGCTGAGGGAAAGAACCCACAAAACTCACTCTAGCAAACGCTCTCCACTCCACAACAGGTAACAGGGGCCTTGACAAAGCGTCAACCACAGTGGTAATGGGCAATTGGTTTAAGCTAAAATGACTTTTACATTTAGAATCTGTGATGACAATTATTAATCAATAGTACCCTAAGTGCAATAGGGACAAGGGCTATAAAAGCCAACCCTTCAAACTACAAAATCCTGGGACCAGAGCTGTAGCACAGCAGAGGTAAAGGTGTAAAGGTGCCACCTACATATTGGCACTGGTTCCTGTCCCAGCTGCTCCGCTTCCAATCCAGATCCCGGCTAATGGCCTGGGAAAAACAGTGGAAGAAGCCCACGTATTTGCACCCCTGCCACTCATGTGGGAGACCCAGATGAAATGCCTGGCTCCTGGCTTAGGCCTGTCCTACTTGCGGTCACCTGGGGAGTGAACCAGATGTAAGATTATCTCTGTCCTCCTCTCTAATTCTTTCAAAAACATAAATCTTAAAAAAAAAAAGTATAAAATTCTGCAGGCCCCAAATAACCTTCCAAATTTTTTTATGAGTACCATTTCTTTATCTTTGCAATTATTTCACAGAAAGAATTGTGGCTGTCGCCGCGGCTCACTAGGCTAATCCTCCACCTGTGGCGCCGGTACCCCGGGTTCTAGTCCCGGTCGGGGCGCTGGATTCTGTCCCAGTTGCCCCTCTTCCAGGCCAGCTCTCTGCTGTGGCCTGGGAGTGCAGTGGAGGATGGCCCAGGTCCTTGGGCCCTATATCCGTGTGGGAGACCAGGAGAAGCACCTGGTTCCTGGCTTCGGATCAGCTCAGTGCGCTGGCTGTGGCGGCCATTGGAGGGTGAACCAATGGCAAAGGAAGACCTTTCTCCCTGTCTCTCTCTCTCTCTCTCTCTCTCACTGTCTACTCTGCCAGGGAGGGAGGGAGAGGAGGGAGGGAAGGAGGGAAGGATTTATTTCTTGCAGGGAAAGGAAGAGGGGCCTGTAGCACTGGGGAAGCAGAAGGCAGCTTCTTCTCATGAGTAGATTTAAGTCACTGGCCTGCACATCTCAGCAATGGTTATATAATAAAAGCAAACAAAAGCTAGCCCTCCAGCCCATTCAAAAATAAAATAAAGTAGTCCCACTCCATATGCCTCCCAAAGAGGAATAGTAACTTGTTCATAGTTACGCAGAGAATTGGTGATTGTACCAGGAAATGAAATTCTCATTGCCTCACTCTTATAGTCTAATGCCCTTTCTGAAAGGCCATGTTGCCTCCCACCTAGTAGTCAAAGTGGTAAGGCAAGGCCTAAATAATTAAGGAACCTGTCCAAGGAAAACCCAAGTTTCCTTATTCCTGAGTTCCAGCCTTGAAAAGCCAAACGAAGAATGTTTTGGGAAAAGCTTGCCAACAAATCTAGCAAAATATTTAATACTCAATGCACTCTATTTCTCCCTCACACCAGTCCTTTCAATCTTAAAATTGTGCCTCTTTAGGCCGGCGCCGCTGCTCACTAGGCTAATCCTCCGCCTTGCGGCGCCGGCACACCGGGTTCTAGTCCTGGTCAGGGCGCCGGATTCTGTCCCGGTTGCCCCTCTTCCAGGCCAGCTCTCTGCTGTGGCCAGGGAGTGCAGTGGAGGATGGCCCAGGTGCTTGGGCCCTGCACCCCATGGGAGACCAGGAAAAGCACCTGGCTCCTGGCTCCTGCCATCGGATCAGCGCGGTGCGCTGGCCGCTGCGGCCATTGGAGGGTGAACCAACGGCAAAGGAAGACCTTTCTCTCTGTCTCTCTCCCTCACTGTCCACTCTGCCTGTCAAAAACAAAGTTGTGACAGTTGTGCCTCTTTAAACTGTCTTGTCTCATGAGTACAGAAACAATTATATTTTTATTCCCCCCCACCCCGGAACGTTTGGGTCAAATAGAAGAAAATCTAGTTTCTTTTTCCCAGAAATCTGTCATAGTAGGACTGTGCATTAATGTACCTACTATGGAATCTTAACCACACCCCTGAGTTGTTGAGTAACTAGCACAGGCATGTTCCATACACTCCCCAAATATCTGAGCTGGAAACAACAAAAGATATTCAGAGACCTTAGTCCTGGGACAATAGCTTCTGTCAGTCAACCACAATTCTCACAAGTCCACGTTTCTGCTCTTCCTTCAACCTCACACCAAACAGCACACTACCCTGCACAAGTGCTTGAGAAGGTCATGTGAATGAATTCGCACATTAGCACAGCAATGTTGGCAGTACACCAATACTAACGGCAAAGTGTAATTAAAGAAAATCAAAGACTTAGAAAAGCATATTATTCTTAGCATTTACACAGCTTGACAAAGACTTGAGGTTCCAGCAACTTATCCTTGAGACTAACACTAAAATGGGTCTGGCAGAGTTTCTATGCCAAGGGAATTATCTCGTAAGGAGGTAAAGGACGCCACTTCATCCCTTACCTGATGCCAAAGGTCGGATCCACTCTTTGCTATTTAGGTCGAGTCTCCAGAGGTCATTGAAAGCAGCATTGCAGCTACTCTGGGTGCAGCCTCCAAACACATACATAGACTGGTTAGCATCATAATAGCATGCACCTAGAAAGGAAACAGTAAGTGAACACCTGCTGTTTAATCCTCAGGCCCCTCCAACACTTAAACACACTCCATATTTCTCAAACCTCAATTATTTTACACATTTAGCAACTTTTTTTTTAATTTTATTTATTTTATTTGAAATTCAGAGTTACATAGAGAGAGAAGGAGAGGCAAAGAGAGAGAGAGAGGTCTTCCATCCACTGGTTCACTCCCTAGATGGCCACAACGGCTGGAGCTGAGCTGATCTGAAGTCAGGAGCCAGGGGCTTCTTCCAGGTCTCCCACGTGGGTGCAGGGGCCCAAGACTTAGACCATCTTCTGCTTCCCCAGGCCATAGCAGAGAGCTAGATAGAAAGAGGAGCAGCTGGGATTCAAACCAGTGCCCACATGGGATGCCAGCACTGCAGGTGGAGGCTTTACCCACTACACCACAGTATATGCCACAGTGCCAGCTCCCACATTCAGCAACTTTTATAACCAGCCTTTATTCTGGTTCACTCCCTAAATGCCTACAACAGCTGGAGCAGGGCAGGCTAAACCCAAAAGCCAGCAACTTAAATCTAAATTTCCCATTTGGGAGCCGGCGCCGTGGCTCAATAGGCTAATCCTCCACCTTGCGGCGCCGGCACACCGGGTTCTAGTCCCGGTCGGGGCGCCGGATTCTGTCCCGGTTGCCCCTCTTCCAGGCCAGCTCTCTGCTATGGCCAGGGAGTGCAGTGGAGGATGGCCCAGGTGCTTGGGCCCTGCACCCCATGGTAGACCAGGAAAAGCACCTGGCTCCTGGCTCCTGCCATCGGATCAGCACGGTGCGCCGGCTGCAGCGGCGGCCATTGGAGGGTGAACCAACGGCAAAGGAAGACCTTTCTCTCTGTCTCTCTCTCTCACTGTCCACTCTGCCTGTCAAAAAATAAAAAAAATTAAAAAATAAAAAAATAAATTTCCCATTTGGGTGGCAAGGACCCAAGAACTTGAGTTATCAACAACTGCCTCCCATCCCAGAGTGCTCATTCCAGAGAACTGGAATCTGAAGCAGAGCTGGGTCTGGAGCCCAGGCACTCCATATGGGATGAGGGTCTTAACCACTGTGCCAAACACCAGCCTCATCTATAATCAGACTCTTGTCTTTAAGTTGGTCAATATCACAGTAAAGCTAGGAAAATTGTATTTCAAAGTATGTGAAGCAAACCAATGATATTATTAAGTAAGATAGTATAATCCTAGCAAGGACACCAAAGAATTCAAATTAAAGGCTCAGTGAGTGGAATTCAGCACAGCCACGTAATTACTCTAGAGCTAGGCAGACAGAGTACCAACAGATGGATTTTGTCCCCTCTTCTCCTCCAGTCCACCTCTTATTGTTTTTGTTTTCAAAAGAACCTGAAGCACAAATTCATAAACAAATCTTTATATCAAACACGATGGGAAAGAATTTTGTACTTTTTTAATTTTTATTTATTCATTTGTTTATTTGAAAGGGTTATAAAGAGAGAGGAGAGGGAGAGAGTTCTTTCATCTGATGGTTCACTTCCCAGATGGCCGCAACAGCCGGAACTGTGCTGATCTGAAGCCAGGAGCCAGGAGCTTCCTCCAGGTCTTCCACATGGGCACAGGGGCCCAAGGACTTGGGCCATCCTCTACTGCTTTCCCAGGCTACAGCAGAGAGCTGGATCGGAAGAGCGGCAGCCAGGACTAGAACCGGTGCCCATATTGGATGCCAGCGCTTCAGGCCAGGGCATTAACCCGCTGCGCCACAGTGTCGGCCCCTGTACTTTTTTTTAAATAAAAAATATTTATTTATTTGAAAAGCAGAGTTAGAGAGAGCAAGAGAGAGAGAGATGTCTTCATCTGCTGGTTCACTCCACAAATGACTGCAACAGCCAGAGCTGGTCCGATCCGAAGCCAGGAGCTGCTTCTGGGTCTCCACATGAGTGCAGGGGCACAAGGACTCCTGCTGCTTTCCCAGGCACATAAGCAGGGAGCGGATCAGAAGAAGAGCAGCTGGCACTCAAACCGGCACCCATATGGGATGCCGGCACTGCAAGTGGGCTTTAACCCGCTGCACCACAGCGCCAGCACCAAGCATCTTAACAGGTAGGCCAAGTGGCCGCCTCAGAAGGGTCTTTTTGATTAGATGATTATATACACATCACCAGCACCATTCCCAAGAAAAAGGGCCAAGGTTTGCGAGAAGTGTTGTTCCCCCAAAACCACAGTCTATGTGAGAGACACGAGAGCTAAGGTCTGCTACCTTGCCTCTCACTGGAAGACTCAGTCTTTATCCTTTGAAAAAGGTGACCACACAGTCCTACATTTACTACCTTGGCCTTTTCTTTTATTTCCTTCCCTTTTTTTTTTTTTTTTTTAAGATTTTTGTTTATGTACTTGAAAGTCAGAAAGTTACACAGGAGAGAGGAGAGGGAGGAGAGAGAGGGAGGAGAAGGGAGGGGAGGGGAGGGGAGGGGAGAGGGGGAGAGAGGGAGAGGGAGAGGGAGAGAGGGAGAGAGAGAGAGGGAGAGAGGGAGAGAGGGAGAGAGAGAGAGAGGTCTTCCATCCACTGGTTCACTCCCTAAATGACTGCAACGGTCAGAGTTGAGCTGATATGAAGCCAGGAGCCAGGAGCTTCTTCCAGGTCTCCCACACGGGTGCAGGGGCACTTGGGCCATCTTCCACTGCTTTCCCAGGCCATAGCAGTGAGCTGGATCAGAAATGGAGCGACCAGGACTCGAACCGGTGCCCATATGGGATGCCGGCACTGCAGGCGGCGGCTCTACCCACTACGCCACCGCGCTGGCCCCTTTCCTTACTTTCTTGAATACGTTTCTTAGAGGTGGGTGTTGGGCAAGTGGTAAAGACACTGCTTTAAGATGCCTGCATCCGGCCAGCGCCGCAGCTCAGTAGGCTAGTCCTCTGCCTGTGGCACCGGCACACCGGGTTCTAGTCCCGGTCAGGGCACCGGATTCTGTCCTGGTTGCCCCTCTTCCAGGCCAGCTCTCTGCTGTGGCCTGGGAAGGCAGTGGAGGATGGCCCAAGTGCTTGGGCCCTGCACCCGCATAGGAGACCAGGAGAAGCACCTGGCTCCTGGCTTCGGATCAGCACAGTGCGCCAGCCGCAGCGCGCTGGCCGCGGTGGCCATTGGAGGGTGAACCAACAGCAAAAGGAAGACCTTTCTCTCTGTCTCTCTCTCTCACTGTCCACTCTGCCTGTCAAAAAAAAAAAAAAAAAGATGCCTGCATCCCACATCAGAGTGTCAGGTCTGAGACCTGCTCCCAACACCAGATTCAAGCTAATGCAGACTGTGGGAGGCAGTAATGACAGCTAGAGTGGCTGAGTCCCTGTCATTCATGTGAGAGACCTACCTAGATTCAGTTATTGGCTCTTGGCTTCAGCTTCGCCCAAACTATATTCTTGCAGACAAGGAGAGCCAGTCAATTGATAGAGATATCTTTCTCTCTGTCTTTGCCTTTCAAATAAAAAATAAGTGAGACGGTTTTCCATTTTCGGACCTGCTTTGTGGCACAGTGGCTTAAGTTGCCACCTCTGACACCTGCAATCCCCTGAGTGCTGGTGAGACTCCCAGCTGCTCCATTTCCAAGTCAGCTCCCTGCTAACATACCTATGAAAGCAGCAGAAGATAGCCTAGTACTTAGGCCCCTGCAAATGGGAGATCTGTGTGTATGTGTCTGTGTTTGTCTCTCCATCACTCTTTCAAATAAATCAATAAATATGTGAAAGGCAGAGGGATCTTCCATCCCTTGGTTCACTCCCCAAATGGCAGCCAACAGCTGTGGCTGGGTCAGGCCAAACCAAGAGCCTGGAATTCCACCTAGTTTTTCACCAGGATGGCAAGGGCCCAAATTCTAGGGCTGTTTCTGCTACTTTCCCAGGCAAATTAGCTAGACTGGAAGTGGAGCAGCCAGTACATGAGCTACCATGCATATGGGATGCTGGCATTACAGGCGGTACCTTAACCTGTTGCACCATAATGCCAGCCCCCATTTTGGATTTTAGGAAGAGATCTTAGCAAAGCTTTCCTTTCCATCCATTTCATGCATGCCAGAGGGGTAAAAATACCTCTCAATGTTGATGCAGGGAAAGGGGGTAAAAAAAACCCAGAGATTCAAGGCAGTAGTACATACCTTCAGTGATCATCCAGGGTATCTGTTGGCCTAGTTCAGTTTAGCACACCACTGTTTTTAAGATCTCTCCTGGGGCCAGTGTTGTGGCATAGCGGGTAAAGCCACCACCTGAAACACCTACATCCCACATGGGTGCCAGATCAAGACCCCGCTGCTCCACTTCCAGTCCAGCTCCCTGCTAATGTGTCTGGGAAAGCAGTGGAGGATGGTCAAGTACTTGAGCCAAGCACCCATGCAGGAGACCTGGAGGAGGCTCCTGCTCCTGCCTTCAGCTTGGTCCAGCCCCAGCCACTGGGGAGTGAACCAGCAGATGGAAGATCTTTCTCTGTCTCTTCTGTCTCTGTATAACTCTTTCAAATAAATAAATAAATAAATAAATATATCTTAGAAGAAAATATCTCCTTAACTCTAACTCCATTTATTTAACGTCAGAGAAAGAGAAATGCTACTACTGACTTATTCAATGCCACTGCTATAATTACCTGTGTGATCTACACCAGCTCTGGGGATAACTCACTTTTTTTCCCCCCAAGATTTTATTTTATTTATTTAAAAGGCAGAGTTACAAAGGTAGAGGCAGATCCAAAGCCAGGAGTCTGGTGTTTCTTCCAGGTCTCCCATGTTGGTGCAGGGGCCCAAGTATTTGGGCCATCTTCTACTACTTTCCCAGGCCATAGCAGAGAGCAGGATCGGAAGTTGAGCAGCCAGAACTTGAACTGGCATTCATATGGGATGCCGGCACTGCAAATGGTGGCTTTATCTACTATGCCACAGTGCCGGCCCCCAACCTACTTTCTTATCTTAATGCAGTCCACCTGTTGGTCTTTTTTTTTTTTTTTTAAACACTTATTTATTTGAAAGACAGAGTTACAGAGAGAGGTAGAGACGGAGAGAGAGGCAGAGACAGAGAGAGAGGTCTTCCATCCACTGGTTCACTCCCCAGATAGCCGCAATGGCTGGAGCTGAGCTGATCCAAAGCCAGGAGCCAGGAGTTTCTTCCGGGTCTCCCACATGGGTTGAGGGTCCCAAGCACCTGGGCCATCTTCTACTGTTTCCCAAGCCATAGCAGAGAGCTGAATCAGAAGTGCAGCAGCCGGGACTTATATCTGCTCCCATAAGGAATGCCAGTCCTTCAGCCCAGGGCTTTAAAATCTGGGGCAGAACAGTGCCGGCCAACCTGTTAGGTCCTTTAAGGAATCCATCATGGAGGCCAGCTCAGAAAACTGCATTAGTTAAAGGGCAATAAAATCAATGTGTATAGTCACCCAGTAATCTTTTTCTTCTTCTTCTTCTTCTTCTTTTTTTTTTTTTTTTTTTTTGCTTTGTAAGATTTATTTATTTGAAAGTCAGAGTTACACAGAGAGAGAGAGAGAGAGGGAGAGGGAGAGGGAGAGGGAGAGAGAGGGAAAGGTCTTCCATCTGCTGGTTCACTTCCCAGATGGCTGCAATGGCTGGAGCTGTGCTGATCCAAAGCCAGGAGCCAGGAGTTCCCTCTGGGTCTCCCACGTGCGGGCAAGGGCCCAAGGACCTGGACCATCTTCCACTACTTTCCCAGGCTATAGCAGAGAGTTGGATTGGAAGTGGAGCAGCTGGGACTCAAACTGGCACCCACATGGGATGCCGGCACTGCAGGAGGCGGCTTTACCAACTCTGCCACACAACACCAGCACCAATAATCTGAATGTAAGGAATAAACCAGATTATCTGACCACTAACACTGTGCAGTAATGGAGCTCAGGCTTTCCAAAATTTCTTTTCAAAAAAAAATTAGGGAAAACAGAGATGTGAAAAAATAAATGCTATCTAATCACACCTGCAAACCATTTACTATATCACCAGAACTCAAACATGTACAGTGGTATATGAAGATTTATATGGGGCTGGACCTGCGGTGTGGTAGGTTAAGCCTCCCCCTGTGGCACAGGCATCCCATGTGGGCATGAGTTTGAGTCCCAGCTGCTCCACTTCTGATCCAGATTCCTGCTAATGTGCCTGGAAAAGCAGCAGAAGTTGTCTCAAGTGCTTGGGCCCCTGCACCCACGTGGAAAACCTGAAAGAAGCTCCCGTATCCTGGCTTCAGATCAGCCCAACTCCAACCACTGCAGCCATTTGGGGAGTGCACCAGTGGATAGAAGACCTCTCTCTCTCCCTCTCTGTAACTCTGCTTCTGAAATAAATAAATAAATCTTTAAAAAAAATTTTAGATGGCCTTACATTTCCCACTCTCTTTAACTTTTTTTTTTTTTTTTTTTTTTTTTTTTTGAAAGGCAGGGTTACAGAGAGAGAAGGAGAAGGAAAGAGAGAGGTATCTTCCATCAGGGCTGGTGTTGTGGCATAGTGGGTAAGGCCGCTACCTGCAGTACCAGCATCCCATGTGGGCTCTGGTTTCAGTCCCAGTCCCAGCTGCTGCACTTCCAATCCAGTTCTCTGCTATGGCCTGGGAAGGCAGTCTAATCGAAGGTGGCCCAAGTCCTTGGGCCCCTGTACTCACGTGGGAGACTCAGAGGAAGTTCCTGGCTCCAGATTGGCACAGCTCCGGCCATTGCAGCTACTTGGGGATTGAACCAGAGGATAGAAGACCTGTCTCCCTCTCTCTGCCTCTCCTTCTCTGTGTAAAATAAATAAATATTTAGGGACTGGTGCTGTGGCTCAGCAAGTAAAGCCGCCACCAGTAGTGCCGGCATCCCATATGGGCACTGGTTTGAGTCCTAGCTGCTCTACTTCCGATCCAGCTCTCTGCTATGGCCTGGGAAAGCAGTGGAAGGTGGTCCAGGTCCTTGGGCCCCTGCCTACTTCTAATCTACATCTAAATCTTTTTTTGTTTGTTTTAAGTTGTATTTATCTGAAAGGCAAAGTTACAGAGAGAGAGGGAGAGACATAGAGATCTTCCATTTACTGCTTCATTTCCCAAATGGCCACAACGGCTAAGGCTAAGCCACGGCAAAGCCAGGAGCTTCTTCCCGGTCTCCCACAAGGGTGCAGGGGTACAAGGACTTGGGCCATCTTCTGCTGCTTTGCCAGGCACAGTAGCAGGCAGCTGGATCAGAAGTGGAACAGCTGGGACTTCAACGGGCACCCATGTGGGAGGCTGGTGTCACAGGTGTGGCTTTGCCTACTATGCCATGCCAGCTCCTAAATCAGTTTTTTTTTTTGTTTTTTTTTGTTTGTTTGTTTGTTTGTTTTTTTAGACTTATTTATTTGAAAGACAGAGTTACAGAGAGAGGTAGAGACACAGAGAGAGGTCTTCCATCCGCTGGTTTACTCCCCAGATGGCCGCAATGGCTGGAGCTGAAGCCAGGAGCCAGGACCTTCTTCCAGGCCTCCCACGTGGGTGCAGGGGCCCAAGTACTTGGGCCATCTTCTACTGCTATCCCAGGCCATAGCAGAGAGCTATGTTGGAACTAGAACTGGCGCCCATATGGGATGCCAGCACTTCAGGCCAGGGCTTTAACCTGCTGCGCCACAGCGCCGGCCCCTGGACTTCTCTCTCTGCCTCTCATCTCTCTGTATAACTCTGACTTTCCAATAAATAAAAAATCTTTAATAAAAAAAAAGTGAAGTCCAGTGAAATTTCACTGTTCATGTTTCATATTTGCTAAGAACTGCAAATAACAAGGCATCAAGTCAAAGGCGATTAGTCAAACAAAAGGATGGTTGGAACATTTCAATTTTCATTAAAGAAGCCCAATATCAGATATCATGGTCCATTTACACCAATCTTGAACTTAAAATGCCAAGAATTAGGGCAATTCTGAACTGAACCACCTGGTGCCAGGCATAAATGAAAATGTTTCTCCTCTTGATAATCTTCCATACCTCCAAAACAGAAATTAGCAATGTCCCATGGCTTCTGAAACCATAATTAAATTAGTGACCATTGGAACAATGTTTAATTAGCAAATCCTTGATTTTCAACTGAAAGTCAAGGGCTCGTTTCTGTCTCCCTGCTCCTCAGAGATAAAGTTGTGTGTGTGTGTGTTTTTTTTTTTATGATTTTATTTATTTATTTGACAGGTAGAGTTACAGACAGTGAGAGGGAGAGACAGAGATAAAGGTCTTCCTTCTGTTGGTTCGCCCCCCAAATGGCCGCAACAGCCGGAGCTGTGCCGACCCGAAGCCAGGAGCCAGGTGCTTCTTTCCTGGTCTCCCTTGTGGGTGCAGGGGCCCAAGCACTTGGGCCATCCTCCACTGCCCTCCCGGGCCACAGCAGAGAGCTGGATTGGAAGTGGAGAAGCTGCGACTCCAACTGGTGTCCATGTGGGATGTTGGTGCCACAGGCAGAGGATTAACCAAGTGAGCCACGGCGCCGGCCCCAGAGATAAACTCTTAGCAGCTAAAGCTTTCTTCATGTAGCAAGAGAACACAGTGCCTTTATTTTTCAAAGAAGCAAACAATCTTCTCTATTTGGACTGAAAACGCAGCCAGCAGCTCAGCCCCTTCAGGTCTTTACCACATGTATTTTAATCCTGCACTAAAACAGGGCAACCAGCATTTTCCTGCTTCACTTTGAGCAAACGAAGGTTTCTGGAAGAGGAAGGCATAGCCCCAAGTATGCAAAGCCAATGGGACTGGAACTGAGTTTCATACACAACTGTACTGTCAATGACCAGGAGTCAGTATCAGCAACGATGGGAGAGGAAGGGAGCCCATGTAGGCAGCTGTATTTAGAACTCAACTATAATGGAATGAGGAAACAAGTACATATATTACACTCAACTGACAAGCATCCTAGTGAACTCTGTTTGTTGCCTATTTTTAAGACACTTATAGGTTGATCTTAGTGGGAACACCCAACATGTTTAAATGGGCCTTTCAGAAAAAATTAAGAACTAATCCTTAGTGTTCAAGTAGTCATTTCCTTTTGCCCAAGTTCTCCAAATAGAATATTTTCCTTTCAAAACATGCAGACCACTGGAATATGCTATGTAAAATAGTTCATAGTACAGTATGAATACTGTGCTAAGTGATAATATTAAGAATGTTTATTCCAACTGTTAAATCTCTTCAAGTTTTCTGAAATGGGCTTGAGTGCTCCATGAACTATTACAAGCATATCTCAAATTAATATCTAATAATCCCTATTCAAATAAAGGTCAAATATCTGCAATTTAATTATACAGCGAGCCAGCAGTTCTTCACAGTTCTGAATGCTTCTCTTCTGTATTACAATCATCTCAAGTGTAAGATCTTCCAGCAGTTTCCTATTTTCCACACACTATGTGGAACATTCAATTAATGCTCGCTGAATGAAGAGCACTCTAATATTTGCATTTTCAGATGTTAAATTCTCTTTTGTTGCTCCACTGTCTCCAGGGAAAAGTCCTGAGGCATTTATCCCATACTTAACGAGACTATGCTGTCATGTGTCTCATACCTACAAGCCAGAACAGATTTGATAAGGTCTGTAATTACATAACTATGGAATAAGCAAGGGTGGTTATCCAGCCTGGGCCTGCAGGCTCCTGCAGGAGCACAATCAGCACGTATATGGAAATACCTGATCGCACGTGCAGCCTAAGCAGTAACACATTTTTGAAAGCATTATGTTGGAGACTCAGCGGACCCCTACATCAATCTGAAAAGAACATCCATTAATCAAGGCGTGTATAATTAGCCATGTACGCACTCACCAAAAAATCCAAGAGTGGCCTTTTATTCCCCCTGCCTTTCCAGTTCCAGACTTCTACACAGGAAAGACGGTGCAGTGCACACATCTCCGCTGTACTTCAGTCCACAAAACATATCAAAATTCATTAACAAAATTATTGCGTGTCAACTAAGAACCAAGTGATATGAAAAGATACAAAGGATGTCAAAAATACACTCTGCTTATCCTCAAGTAGACAACAACCCCGTGGAGAAAATACCCCTTCATTTTACAGCTTAACACACACTCTACAATGCTTCCTCAAATACATTTCTCAGCAACCCTGTGGCATACACAGAATTTGTTACACATTTTACAGATAAAGAAATTGTGGGTCAGAGGGGCTGAGGAACTTGATTCCCAAGTCCAAAGTCCTTTCCTGTTTTGTTTGTAGCCTCCCTTACACAGAGAGTGATCCAAACAGGCATGCATGAACTGCATACAGGGGAGGGCAAGCTGAAGGAGAGAAGAGCTTCATTTCTGGGTGGGGGATTTGAGAGCAGTTTATGAAGAACGTGGATTTTGGCTTTGTCTTGAATATGAATTTTAGAGGACACTTTTGCTAAAAGAAGCAGCAGAAAAAATTCCAGGGATGCAAAGGAAAGGGAGGGGGAAGGAGGCAGGGAGAGTGGTGAAATCACAGTTCCCCAACAGAGCCAAGAAGTTCAAAACACAATGAGAAGGCTCATGTGGCTAAAGACTGGTTGCGCAAGGAGGCGACAGTGAGTCACCCTGGGAAGGTAAACCGGGGCTGAAAGCCAGGTAGACTGGAAACACTTGGTGCAGAAAGGCTGAGGCTTTTTGGTAAAAGAATGGGAAGCTGGCTCTGGTACCAGTCTTGTCATGTTTCCCAACGGGACAGCTGGTCATTCTGGACAGGACAATTCTCTGTGGGTAGGACTGTCCCAATCACTGCAGGACATTAAGCATCGCTGGCCCTTGCCTACCAAAGGACTGTATGCTTTCCAGGTGAGACAACAACGACCTCACACATCCCCAAACATCCCAGCAGGTGGCACTGTCCCCGGTTTTAGAGACAGCTGCCAACAGGGTCTGATTGAGGTTCAGATGGAGAGAGAAGAAAGGCAAAGACCATTTAGAGGCATACTGTGATAATTCATTAGACACAATGATTGGGTCACAAACCAGAGAACCCAGAAAAGGAAGAAAAAGGATGAAGACAATTACAGAGATAGAACAGAAATCAACACAGGATTTGGCTCTTGAATACAGAGGAGAGGAATCAAGGATGAATCCAGGATTTCAAGCCTGTGTAATTGAGAAGATAATAGCGACGATAACTAAGCCAGAGAGGAAAATTGGAAGGACCTATTGAGTTACACTTTTGGGAACAGAATATGAAACGTCCGTGTATCTCTATGGTGAGACAGGCAAAATATTGTGGATCTTAAGCTCAACATGAATTAGCCAAAAGAAAGGAAATCCAGATCGAGAGAGAAATACAGCGTAGGAAGGAATTACTTGTTTCAGTCTATTTTGAACACTGCCCTTTCCCCTGCTTAACAGTTCTCAGTGGGCCAGGAAGCCAGAAGCAGTTCTGCAGCGACAGATGGAAGGAGACAATGAGACAGACGTCAGAGACAATGAGAGAGACATCAGAGACAAGGAGACACCCGGGCTTTCTTTTTAAATTTAAGGCAGCTTTTGTTGAATTCCAAGTAAAGATTGAAAAAAAACACCTTTAAAATGATTTTTTATTTATTTGAAAGGCAGTTACTTAGTGAAAGAGAGAGAGACAGAGACATCTTTGATCCGCTGGTTCACTATTCCAATGGCTGCAACAGCCAGTGCTGGACCAGGCCAAAGCCAGGAACCTGGAACTCCATCCAGATTTCCCATGTGGTTGGCAGGAGTCCAACTACTTAGGCCATTTTCTGCTACCTTCCCAGGTACAATAGCAGGGTCAGAAGTGGAACAGCCAGGACTCCAACTGGTACTCACATGGGATGCCAACCTCTGAGGAGGCAGCCTAACCTGCTACACCACAATGATGGCTCCTGAAAAAAACTCTGAGGTAAAAGCAAGTACCCAAACCCACGAACTTCTGAACTTCTTTGAGCTTACTTACTGTATTATTCCTTTCCACTGCCCCTTCAAATAAGTCATTCTAATTTTTGTATACCATCATTTGTATACCACCAAAAAAAAAAAAAAAAATCTAGTTAAGTGAAAAATATTTTCCTTTTCCATTAGAAAGCTGAGCTGTTGCTGGCAAGAATTGTTCATCCTTGAATACTTCCTAATCTGATTTCTGTTTTACCCAGATTTCATCAAATTTTCCTCTCTGAAGGTTGTAATACTTATTTGAAAAAACACGTGAGCAAGAATGGTGCTGTGGCGTAGCAGGTAAAGCTGCCGTCTGCAGTGCCAGCATCCCATATGCCAGCATCCCATCGAATCTCGGCTGTTCCACTTCAGATCCAGCTCTCTGCTATGACCTGGAAAAGCAGTGGAAGATGGCCCAAGTCCTTGGGCCCCTGAACCCATGTAGGAGACTCAGAGGCGGCTCCTGGCTCCTGGCTATGGATTGGCACAGTTGCAGCCATTGCAGCCATTTGGGGAGTGAACCATTAGATGGAAGACCTCTCTCTCTACCTCTGCCTCTGCCTCTCTGTAACTCTGCCTTTCGATTAAACAAACAAATCTTTAAAAAAAAAAAGAAAAAAAGAAAAAAGAAAAAATACACGAGAGAGTAGAGGTGGCGGCACGTGTGACGTGATGGGTTAAGCTGCCATCCCATAGAGTGCTGGTTCCAGTCCTGGTTACTATGCTTCTAATCCAGCTCCCTGCTAATGTGTTTGAGAAGGCAGCAGAAGATGGCCCGAGTCCTTGGGCTCCTGTCACCCACTTGGGAGACCTGAATGGAGCTCCAGGCTCCGGGCTTCAGCCTGGCCCAGCCCTGGCTGTTGCAGCCACTGGGGAGAGAACCAGGAATGCGTGAAAGACCTCTCTCACTGCCTCTCCCTCTCATTCTGCCTTTCAGATAGACAAAACACATTTTTTTAAAAGTAAGTAAATAAAAAAAAATATGGAGAAAGTTTATCTCTACCTCTGACTCCAAGTCTCTATAGGTTAAGTGAAGTTAGGCCTCCCTCAACTACAAATACTAGACTTTCCAGTACATCATTAAGTATTTTCAGTAAGGATGCATTTACAGTTAATTCCAGCAAGTCTCAAAGTGTGGTCTGAGAACACTTTAGATTTTTTCAAAACTATTTTGAATAATACTACTTGCCTTCCTTATTATGTTGATATTGGCACTGACAGTACAAAAGCAATGATGGGAAAAACAGATGATGGAATTATAGCATGAATCAAAGTGGTGGCAGTAAACTTATAGGAATAACTGTGCTAGTCACTTGCACATATTCACTGCTTAAAACAAATAAACAGGTGGGCATTTGGCATAGTGGTTAAGATGCCACTTGGAATGCCAACATACCATATCACAGGACCTGAGTTGAAGTGCTGGCTCTATTCCAATTCAAGCTTCCTACCAATGCACACCCGGGAGGGCAGCAGTGCACACCTGACCCGGGAGGGCAGCAGTGCACACCTGGGAGGGCAGCAGTGCACACCTGACCTGGGAGGGCAGCAGTGCACACCTGACCTGGGAGGGCAGCAGTGCACACCTGACCTGGGAGGGCAGCAGTGCACACCTGACCCGGGAGGGCAGCAGTGCACACCTGACCCGGGAGGGCAGCAGTGCACACCTGACCCGGGAGGGCAGCAGTGCACACCTGACCTGGGAGGGCAGCAGTGCACACCTGACCTGGGAGGGCAGCAGTGCACACCTGGGAGGGCAGCAGTGCACACCTGACCTGGGAGGGCAGCAGTGCACACCTGGGAGGGCAGCAGTGCACACCTGACCCGGGAGGGCAGCAGTGCACACCTGACCTGGGAGGGCAGCAGTGCACACCTGACCCGGGACGGGCAGCAGTGCACACCTGGGAGGGCAGCAGTGCACACCTGACCCGGGACGGGCAGCAGTGCACACCTGGGAGGGCAGCAGTGCACACCTGACCCGGGAGGGCAGCAGGTGGCTTAAATACCTGGGTCCCTGCCACTCATGTGGGAAAACCAGACTGAGTCCCCAGCTGCTGGCTGTTGCCGAAATTTGGGGAGTAAACCAGTAAATGGGAGATCTCTGTCTCTCTTTCTCTCTCTGCCTTTTAAATAAAATAAGTAACTACACAAACAAAGCCAGTTCTGACCTCAGAGAGTCCTCGAAATGGTCTCATAGACACCCTCCTCCCCAGAGGCCCAGAGACCACACTGAGATCTACAGCTGCTGGCAGTTCACAACAGCACAAAAATAGCTCTTTGAGAGGACTGAGTTAACAAAGTTTGGCCTATTCCTTTGACCTATTTAGATTCGATTCAGACAATGATGATCTACAACTGTTTAGGGTGGTCCCCAGTAATCCTCACCTCTTGGTAGTCACATCCTTGGTCAATCCCTGTGTGAACAACAGAACAGAGTGGAAGTGGTGCAGTGACTTCTGAGACTAGGTGGTACAAGACTGTGGTGTCCATCCTGCAGTGAGTACTCTATGGAGAGATCCATGTAGCCAGGAACTGAGGCCTCTGGTTATGTAGCATGGATAACCAATACACACTCCTTCCCACCAAGAGTTTAAAATGTTTTTTAAATGCATTCATATAAGCTAATAATGAAAGACAATATGAGTTAAGTACCAAATTATTATTCCAGGAAAGAATATCTTTGTAAACTCAGAATAGGAAACATTCTCTGTGGACTAGAGAATGAGAAAGCTTTCATAAAGGAGTCAAACTTCAACTGAGTCTTCCAGGAGGGGGAGAATTCAGCTAAGCGAACAGGAATAATCCAGGAAGAAAGAAACCACGCACGGCAATAGTAAAATGACAACCTGCTGCAAAAGACAGCTCTTAAATTAAGGATGGCTTTGGGGGGCCAGCACTGTGGTGTACCAGATAAAGCCGCTGCCTGCAGTCCCGGCATCCCATTTGAGTGCCAGTTCAAGTCCTGGCTGCTCCACTTCCAATCCAGCTCTCTGCTACGGCCTGGGAAAACAGTGGAGGATGGCCCAAGTCCTTTGGCCCCTGTACCCCTGTGCGAGACCCAGAAGCTCCTGGCTGCTGGCTTCAGATCAGCACAGCTCCAGCCGTTGCGGCCAATTGGGGAGTGAACCAGCAGATGGAAGACAACTCACTCTCTCTCTCTCTCTCTCTCTGTATAACTCTTTCAAATAAATAAATCTTTAAAAAAAAAAAAAAAGGATAGCTTTGGGGCCGGCTATGGTGTAGCAGGTAAGGCCATTGTCTGCAGTGCTGGCATCCCATAAGGGCACTGGTTTGAGTCCCAGCTGCTCCACTTCCAATGCAGCTCTCTGCTATGGCCTGGGAAAGCAGTAGAAGATGGCCCAAGTCCTTGGGTCCCCGCAACCACGTGGAAGACCGGGAAGAAGCTCCTGGCTTCGGATCAGCCCAACTCCAGCCATTGCAGCCATTTGGGGAGTGAACCAGCAGATGGAAGACCTCTCTCTCTGCCTCTGCCTCTCTGTAACTCTGCCTTCCAAATACAAAAATAAATCTTTAAAAAAAATCAAGGATAGCTTTGACAGTAAGACTAAGTTTCCATTTTAACTTTCAGACAATGTACAGGAACTGAGGGTCTGGGAAGAAGGAAGTAACACAATGAAAGCAGTGACTGAGAGCTTTCTAAGAGGGCCCCTACCCCTTCCCATCTACCCTCACTGAGCTTTCTCTGTGGAGAGCCTCTGGCAAGCACACCTTTACAGGCCTATGATCCACCACACCTCAGTCTCAATTCTGATGGAAGAACAGAATAGAATATGGATAGGAATAGAATAATAATGAGTCCACAAAAAAATTTAAATGGAGAGTAAATCTAGAATAATTTTTAAAAATCTAAATTATGTCTGTTTGTCAGTATTTAAATTTGTATTTTATGGGGCCAGCATTGTGGCACAGTGGATTAGGCCACTGCTCCATGTTCAATCCAGCTTCCTGCTATTGTGCCTAGGAAAGCAACAGAAGATGGCCCAAGTGCTTGGGCCACTACTACCCATGTGGGAGACCTGGATGAAGCTCCTGGCTTTGGCTTGGCCTACCTGTAGCCATTGCAGCATTCTGGGGAGTAAACCAGCAGATGCAAGATCTTTCTCTCCCTCTCCCTCTCTTCCCTATAATTCTGCTTTTCCAATAAATAAATAAATACATCTTTAAAAGGAAAAATAAATTTGTATTTTATAACCAATAGTCCTTTGGAGCTAGAGCTGTGACTCAGCAGGTTAAGTCACTTCCTGCAATGTAGGCATCCCAGACGAGTACTGGTTCGGGTTCCTGCTGTTCCACTTCCCAGTGCAGCTCCCTGCTAAAGCACCTGGGAAAGCAGAAAATGGTCCATGTACCTGAACCCCTGCCACCCACGTGGGAGTCCTGGAAGGAGTTCCAGGCTCCTAGCTTCAGCCTGGCCAGTACTGACCATCGAGGTCACTTGGGGAGTGAACCAGAGGATGGAATATTTTCTCCTTCTCTGTAACTTTGCCTTTCAAATAAACAAATATACCTTTAAAATTTTTTGAATCAATACCCTTCACATTTAAAATTTTCATGTGACTCCAGTCAAGCTCTGTGTTTGCTGAGGATATACTATATTAAAGCAGTCACCGTGAGAGTCGGTGCTAACCTCTGGCGACTCCCTGAGCAAGATGCTCAGAAACACCCCTGACACACGCCCTCCCTTAGTTTTCCCAGTAGATGATGTCAGGTATTTAGAGCTCTAAGCGTAACCTTCTGGTCCCTTTGGAGCACAGAAAAATCCAATGAAATGGAAGAATATAAAATTATCAACAAAGCACTCACATAATACTTGGCTCACATTTTTCCCTAATTCTGATTATAAAATTAACATAAGCTCTCATTTTACATTCTTTTCAATAAAAACTCAGGCAAAATATATGCCTCAAAAGTAGTTTCTGGAAGCATGGTCCTGGGCAGGGTGGGACCTGCTGTCATGGCAAATACTTACTGTGCGAGAACCTCTGCGTGATGGGAGTTCCAGGGTAAGGGTACGTCCGGCTCTCCCACTGAATGCTTCCTTCCTGGACAGCTTTCATGAAGCCATGATAACACTGGTGGGCTACACCTGAAGACAAAAGAACAAAGCCTCAGTCTGGCACCTAATGAGTAAATCATGCTCCTGGCTATTATCTAGTAACTGTTTTATTATTTTTAAAAGACATAAGTTTTTTGAAGGACTCCAGACTCTAATTTTCCAAAAAAGAATCACAGAGGCCGGTGCTGTGGTGTAGTGGGCAAAGCCGCCGCCTGCAGTGCCAGCATCCCGTATGGGCACTGGTTTGAGTCCCGGCTGCTCTGTTTCAGATCCAGCTCTCTGCTGTGGCCTGGGAAAGCAGTAGAAGATGACACAGTGCTTGGGCCCTGCACCCACGTGGAGACCCAGAAGAAGCTCCTTGCTCCTGGCTTCGGACTAGTGCAGCTCCAGCCTTTGTGGTCAATTGGGGACTGAACAGGCAGACAGATGGAAGACCTCTCTCTCTCTCTCTGCCTCACCTTCTCTGTGTAACTCTTTCAAATAAATAAACAAATCTTTAAAAAAAAAAAAAAGAAAGAACCACAGAATTTCAAACCTGGAAGATCCAATCCTTTCATTTTACCAAGGCTCAAGGAGGTTAAATGACTTACTCAAAGTTACAAAATGAGCCCACGCTTTGTAACTCTGGTCCTCTTATATTTTGAGGTAGTATGTCAGGATAACTGATAGGATAACTGATATTCCAAGGCAAAGGGGTAGGGATAACTTAGCTTTGTAACAGAGTATGATAAAACAGTAGCTGCAATATAATAGGTGTTCAGTAAATATCTCTCGTTAGATCCTAGCCATCAAGCACTCTCCACTTTAAACAGGAGGTAATAATTAGCCTATAGTGGGCTATGAAATGGTGAACGCATTACTAAAGAAAGCTTCCTTAAAAGCAACAGCATTTGTCCCAATCTACAGACTCACCAAGCGTGAACTTGGACTTTGGGTGATAACAATGTGTCAGTGTAGGTTCATCAACATAACAAACGTGCCACTCAGGCCAGTGATGCTGACAGTGGGGGGCATCCTGGGAGAAGGCAGATGGAAGGGAAATCTCTGTACCTATTGCTCAGCTTTGCTCCAAAACTAAAACTTCTCTAGAGTTCTCTAAAGAGGACTGCTGTCAGAGCTGTCCTGGTGTCAACAGTTGGTCCGCCCTCAGGGGCCCAGTCACTAGGCATCACTGGCTCAGGCCTCAGAGCCCTTAGCATACTCTGCCTGGGCCTGGACTGGTGCCAGCTACTGCGGGAGGGTGGGGACACTTGGAATGCCATTTGTCCGTAGAGGCTGCTATGCCTTCTCCGAACACAGTACTTTCCAGGAGCACACGTAGGGGGAGATACTGAATCATCACACAGCAAAAGCATTCAAGGAACCAGCACCTGGGAAACTGCACTCTAAGTTCCTTATCTGCATGTGGACCTAAGACAAGATCCTGACTCACAGACGATGGCGTAATGGGACAAAATTTGGGGTTTGAGGGGAAGAATATGAGTGAACTTGGCATATGGAAGGGTTGTCAATTTTCAGGGACAAATTATATTTTCCCAAAGTGGAACAACTTCTCCCATCCTACTGGCTTCTCATACAATGTGATTTAAATATATTTCCCATCAAGAGATGAGAGGTTGGTGCTGAACTCAGCAGATTGAGCCACCACATGTGACACCAGCATCCCACATCAGAGGGCCAGCTGGAGTCCTGGATCCTCTGCCTCTGATCCAGCTCTCTGCTGATGTGCACCCTGGGAGAGCAGTGGCCACGGCCCAAGTGCCTGGCCCTACCACCTACATTGGAGACTAGGATCCAGTTCCCGGCTCCTGGTTTTGGGCTGGCCCAGACCTGGCTGTTGTGGCCATTTGGGGAGTCCAGCAGATGCAAGGTTTATCATCTCTCTCTTACTATGCTTTCAAATAACTAACTAAAACTTAAAAAAAAAAAAAAAAATAAGAGAGCGAGATGAAGGTCTGTGCTCCTTCCCCTTGGATCTGGAGAGGTTTGTACCTTTGGTGGATGAGGGTCATCAAAGGTGATTTTATCAGGAATTTTGCCCTCGGGATCCAGCTACCATGCTTTGAGGAAAGCCCAAGCAGCCTGTGGAAGTCCATATGAAGAGACTGAGGACTATGGCTGAGCGCCACCCTGACAGCCAGCACTGATTTGCAAGTCACGTGAGTCATCTTAAAAATGAATCAATCATACAGCCCAAAGCTGAGCCACCCCATCAGAGACCACATGGAACAAAACTGAATTATTCCCACTGAGTGCTGCCCATATGAACAGATTTTGTGGGCAAAATAAATTATTGCTGTCATTCTGAGCCACTTTTTTTTTAAAGCCCATTTTTTAAAAAGTGAGAGCTCTGTCTCTGGAACACCTTGTTTTTCTAACACATTCATTCCAATGACTCATTGCATCAGAGCAGAATTTTCAATGAAAAGTACAACCACTTATGCCAATTCTGAAAGAAAGTATCGTTCCTGAATTTGTCACCTTAGCTGGTCCTGAAGCAGGAGCACAGAAATACACGTTAATCACTATCCTTATGCTACGACAAATTCACCTGGGTAAACCCGGCTGCTCCACTTCCGATCCTGCTCTCTGCTGTGGTCTGGAAAAGCAGTACAGGATGGCCCAAGCCCTTGCACCCCTGCACCCACATGGGAGACCCGGAAGAAGCTCCTGGCTCCTGGCTTCGGACTGGCCCAGCTCCGGCAGTTGCAGTCAACTGGGAGTGAACCATCGGATAGAAGACCTCTCTTTCTCTCTGCCTCTCCTTCTCTCTGTGTGTAACTCTGACTTTCAAATAAATAAAATAAATCTTAAAAAAAAAATTGGAATACTTTTTAAAAGCACAGTGGTTTTTAGTAACAATATGGTCAGCTATATGCTACCACAGTGAGCTCCACAAATATGCAATGCTGGGGGCTGGCACTGTGGCACACTGGGTTGAAGTCCTGGCCTGCAGTGCCAACATCCCATATGGGATAGGTTCGAGACCCAGCTGCTCCATTTCCAATCCAGCTCTCTGCTGTGGCCTGGGAAAGCAGTGGAAGATGATCCAAGCACTTGGGACCCTGCACCCACATGGGAGACCCAGAGGAAGCTCCTGGATCCTGGCTTCGGATTGGCTCAGCTTCGGCTGTGCTGAATGAAAGACACAGAACACCTGAGAGAAATAAGACCACTATGTTGGTCCTAGAACTAGTCAGCAATTATCTCAAGGTTGTAGGATATAAGATTAATATACAGAGGTCAATTACTTTCCTATTCACAAATAATGAGCAAGTGAATTTGAAATGGGAGACTTAATATTATTTGCATTAGTACCAAAAAATGAAATCCTTAAGTAGAAAAATCTAACAAAATATATATAAGATCTATGAGAAACACTATCAAATTCTGACAAAAGAAATAAAAGAATTAAATAAATCGAAAGACACCCCATGTCCACTGATAGGAAGACTCAATACTGCCAAAATCTCCATTCTTCCAACTTTATCTACAGAGGCAATGCACCATAATCAAATTCCCAGCAAGCTACTTGTAGATATTGACAAACTGACTCTAAAGTTTATGTAGGGAGGCTGATGTTGTGGTGTAGCAGGTTAGGTTGCTGTCTGCAACACCAGCATCTCATATGAGCACCAGTTTGAATCCTGGCTGCTCCACTTCCAATCCAGCTCCCCACTAATGTACCTGGGCAAGCAGCAGAAGATGGCCCAACTTCTTAGGCCCTCCACTCATAGGGGAGACATGGATAGAATTCCAGGATCCCGGCTTCCCCAAGCAGTTGCAGCCATTTGGGGGGGAAACCAGCAAGTGGAAGATCTCTCTAACTCTCCCTTTCAAATAAATGAAGTAAATCTTTAAACAAACAAAATACAGTTTATGTGGAGAGACAAAAGACCCAGAACAGCCATAATAACAATGAAAGAGGAAAAAATTAGAGGACCCACACTATGGAACTTCCAGACTTACTATAAGTTACAGTACTTAATACAGTGTGGTACTGGCAAGAGAATACGTAAATTATCAGCAGGACAAAAAAGAGGCCAAAAATGGAGCCACACAAATAAGGTTTACAATGGAGGAAAAAACAGCCTTTTTCGACATACAGTGCTGGGACAACTGGACATCTACATGCAAAAAAGTGAATCTAAACACACTCCACCAAATCTCACTCAAAGTAGATCACAGATCTAAATAAAAAACACAAAACTGGGGCCGGCGTTGTGGCACAGTGGGTTAAAGCCTTGGCCTGAAGTGCTGGCACCCCATATGGCCACCAGTTCTAGTCCCGGCTGTTCCTCTTCCCATCCAGCTCTCTGCTGTGGTCTGGGAAAGCAGTACAGGACGGCCCAAGCCCTTGTGTGGAAGACCTGGAGGAAGTTCCTGGCTACTGGCCCCTGGCTTTTGATCAGCGCAGCTCCGGCTGTTGCGGTCAACTGGGGAGTGAACCAGCGGATGGAAGACCTCTCTCTCTCTCTCTCTCTGTCTATACCTTTCTTTGTTAACTCTTTAAAATCAATAAAATAAATCTTAAAAAAAAAAAAAAGACACATCTAATAAAGGACTATTATCCAAAATGTACAAAGAATTCTTCAACTCAACAATAAGAAAGCAACCCAACATAAAAATGGGTCAAAGGCCATAACAGAAACCTCACCAAAGATTTATGGATGACAAATAAGCACATGAAAACATTCTCCAGACCACTTGTCGTCATGGAAATGCTAACTGAAATGAGATGACACTCTATGCCTACTTGGAATAATGAAAATCCAAAACACAGACGACTACAAATGCTGAAAAGCACATGGAGCAACAGGAACCCTCTTTCACTGTTGATGGGAATGTAAAACGGCACAGACACTTCAGAGAACAGTTCTGTGTTTTCTCAGAAAATTGAACATACTCTTACCACTTGATCCAGCAATCATGCTCCTTGGAATTTACTCCAAGGAGATGAAAATGATGTCTTCACAAAACCTGCACATGGACATTACAGCAGCTTTACTCAAACCTGCCAAAACTTGGAAACAAGCAAGATATCCTTCAATGGGCAAATACAGAAACAAACTACAGCACATGAACAATGGAATATTATTCGGTGCTAGCAAGAAATGAGCTAACAAAACCAAGAAAAGACATGGAGGACAGTTAAAAAAAGTGAAAGAAGCCAACCTGAAAAGGCTGTGTACTGAATGATTCCAATTACATGACAACCTGGAATAAGGCTATGAAGATAGTAAAAAGGTAAGTAGTTACCAGGGGCTGGGGTACAAGGGAGATTAAAGAGCACAGATTTTTAGAACAGGGGAGTTACTCTGTATGATACTACAATGGTGGATGCTCATCACTTATTCAAACCCTTAGCATGTACAACACCAGAAAAAAATCACAGGCTCTGGCGTGATGACGGTGTCAGTGTAGGCACACCAGCTGTCACACACGCACACTCAGGAAGGTGCTGACAACGAGCACGCTATTCACGTGCAGCTGATGGCGAATCCTTCTATCTTCCATCTTCCTCAATTTTGTAATAAATCTAAAACTCCTTTAAAAAAATAAAGTCTGGCCGGCGCCACAGCTCAATAGGCTAATCCTCCACCTAGCGGCGCTGGCAAACCGGGTTCTAGTCCCGGTCGGGGCACCGGATTCTGTCCCGGTTGCCCCTCTTCCAGGCCAGCTCTCTGCTGTGGCCCGGGAAGGCAGTGGAGGATGGCCCAGGTGCTTGGGCCCTGCACCCCATGGGAGACCAGGAGAAGCACCTCGCTTCTGCCTTCAGATCAGCATGGTGCGCTGGCTGCAGCAGCGCACCAGCCGTGGCGGCCATTGGAGGGTGAACCAACGGCAAAAGGAAGACCTTTCTCTCTGTCTCTCTCACTATCCACTCTATCAAATAAATAAATAAATAAATAAAATAAAAATAAAGTCTGTTAAAATTAAAAGCAAACAACGACACTGTCAGCAGGGTCTTCCTCTAAAAGATCTAAGACTGTGAGTACTGAGTAAGGGTTCTTTCCTATGTTATCAAACTTGATCCCAGTCCCTCATCTGGGATTATTCCATCTAAACCCTGCGTTTCCACAGTGGAGGGGGCACTCTCTCCCGGAAAGCCCATTAATGCAGAAAACAATAGCAGGCTAGGCTAGGCCTTCCAGTTTTACCAGCCCTGAACAAATAGGCACAGGGCCTTCCTATAAAGTTTCAACACAACTGGTCCGTAGTCCTCCAGGCAACTTTGGAACTTGACCAGATTCCCCAGCAGAATCACCCTGATGCAAGGAACAGATTTCAAGACTGATTCCTGTCATATCTCTGCCTGCTCTGCTCTTACCAGGAAAGAATATGTTGATACAATCCTTGCTTTGATCAAAGATTATTCAACTGGCCTACTCATCGTCAGACAAAACACAAAACCTTTTCTCCTAAAATAGAAGAAGCCAAATAACTGTTGTTAACTAAAAACACTCACATAGCATGGCTAGCAACCTCAGCATTTAGCTAAAAGAGGAAAACTTGATTAGGAAACAGATAAAAAAAAAAGGAGAACCACATTTTAAAAACTAAAACTGTGCTGCGGTACAGTGGGTTCTGCCATCGCTTGCAACAGAAACATCCTATACTAGAACACCAATTTGAATTCTGGCTGCTCTGTCTCTGATCAGCTTCCTGCTAATGTGCCTGGGAAGGCAGTGCATGATGGCCCAACTACCTGGGAGACCTGGATGGAGTTCCAGGCTCTTGGCTTCAGCCTGGCCACTGCTACCATTCTGGGAGTGAACCAGCAAATGGAGGATCTCTCCCCTCCCCTGTCTCTGTCACTCTGCCTTTCAAATAAATAAATCTTAAAAGAAATGAACAGGGCCTGTGCTACTTACAGATAAAATCAAATGGTAAATGTTTTCACTGACCACACTTTTACTAAAATTAAGTGCTTTGATAAATAACACACTTCCTCATTAGCAGCATGGACTTGAACACCAGATTACCTGAATGGGAATCCTGGATCCCCCTTTACAACACTGTGACCTCGAGTCAGTCAGTTGACTGATCCTCATTCAGTTTCTCCAGCTGTAAAATGGAGTCTATGCTATGCATATAATTTGCTGCAAAACTGTAAAGCAGTTACAAAAGGGCTTGACACATGCTAAAAATGAATCATTCAACAAAAAATTGAAACAAATAAATAACCTTTCTCCTTTCCACAGTACCTTTGATAAGTCGATACCACTGCTTGCACACGAGGGCTGCAGTTTTGTGTTCCTGATAGGGAGAGAGAAAGGACAGGATGTACTCCAACACCTCTTCTGGCAGCTCGGCCATGGACCTGCTGTGTCTGGTCTCCTCCACCTCCAGCACGGGGCGGGGCTCCTCGTCTTGCTCCATTGCCCCCTCCAGCACAGCTTCTTCTTGGTCCACAGCCATGAAGCCGTCATCTTCACTATCCGAGGAGCTGGCCATGACATTCCACTCGACAGCTGGTAGCGGGCAAGAAACAGACATCAGCACACTGCGGTCAGCAGCTCAGAAACATCACAGACGTGTGCATCCAGGCTGCGCATCATCTCTTCTCCACCATCAGCATGAAATCTGCTCTTCAGCACTTTCTCACAGGGGTTGGGATCCACCTTCAGTTGACAGATAAGAGTTCAAAAACCAGGATTTCTGATCACATTTTTTCTTCCCACTGAAAACCAGAATAGCAATTGACTTCTGGTAAAACAAAAACAAAAACACGAAAATCTGTTCTCCAACATCTCCTCTAATTCAAGGATCAACCAACGGACAGTTAGGAGAATAGTAAAAGTCTCCTTTGGCCAGCAATAATGATCCAAGACTTCCAACTTAAAAGGAAAACCATGGGGCCGGCGCTGTGGCTCACTTGGTTAATCCTCCGCCTGCGGCGCCGGCATCCCATATGGGCGCTGGGTTCTAGTCCCAGTTGCTCCTCTTCCAGTCCAGCTCTCTGCTGTGGCCCGGGAGGGCAGTGGAGGATGGCCCAAGTGCTTGGGCGCCTGCATCCGCATGGGAGACCAGGAGGAAGCACCTGGCTCCTGGCTTCGGATCGGCACAGCTCCAGCTTTGGTGGCCATTTTGGGGGTGAACCAATGGAAGAAGACCTTTCTGTCTCTGTCTCTAAGAAGGAAAGGAGGGAAGGAGGGAAGGAGAGAAGGAAGGAGGGAGGAAGGGAGGGAGGGAGGGAGGGGGGGAACCATGGAGCCAGCCCTGTGGTGTAGGCAATCCATATGAATTGTGGCTGGTCCACTTCTGATCCAGCTCCCTGCTAATGGCCTGGGAAAGCAGCAGAGGACAGCCCGAGTGCTTGAATACGCACCCATGTGGCTTCGGATCAGCCCAGCTCCAGCCACTGTGGCCATTTGTGGAGTGAACCAGTGCATGGAAGACCTCTCTGTCTCTCCCTCTCTTTCAGTCTGTAACTCTGCCTCTCAATTAAACAAATAAATCTTTAATAAATAAGAGGAAAACCTAACTTTGGATCCTGGAAAAAATAACATTCTGAAGATGTGGGATAAAAACAATATTTTTTTTCTAGCTTTTACATAAGATGATTTACTTAAGAGAACAGTAAATGTTCCAAGAATCAGCTGAACCTACTGGGTGAGAGGGAGGGGCACTAGAAACCGCCCGCTTCACCTTCGCCACTCCTGCAATTCGTATACTGATTACATTCAACATCTTTAAGAACTGGAAGATGATCAAGTAAGGAAAATGGAAACATGAATCACAACGTATGTGATGCTTCTAAAATGATTTATGACACTTCAGCTGGGCCCCGGCAAAGCACTTCTAGATCTCAGTGGTAATTAGCAATTGGTGGCTATTTGCAAGTGGTAGAAAGGCCTAAATTCTCCTAGCAACGTGGAGGACAGGCAGGAACAGCTGTCCTGAGGTAGGAAAGAATATTATGAGTTTGCCGGAAATTTTATTTTATTTTTTTGACAGGCAGATTTAGACAGTGAGAGAGAGACAGAGAGAAAGGTCTTCCTTTTTCCGCTGGTTCACCCCCAAATGGCTGCTACGGCCATGATCCGAAGCCAGGAGCCAGGTGCTTCTCCTGGTCTCCCATGCGGGTGCAGGGCCCAAGCACTTGGGCCATCCTCCACTGCCCTCCCGGGCCACAGCAGAGAGCTAGACTGAAAGAGGAGCAAGAGCAACCGGGACAGAATCTGGCGCCCCGAGTGGGACTAGAACCCGGGGTGCCGGTGCCACAGGCAGAGGATTAGCTAAGTGAGCCGCGGTGCCAGCCCGGAAATTTTACTAAATAAAGGATCCTAGTTAGACCTTTTCTTTTTTTTTTTTTTTCTTTCTTTTTTTTTTGGGACAGGCAGAGTGGACAGTGAGAGAGAGAGACACAGAGAGAAAGGTCTCCCTTTGCCGTTGGTTTTGTTCACCCTACAATGGCTGCTGCAGCCGGCGCACTGCGCTGGTCAGAAGGCAGGATCCAGGTGCTTCTCCTGGTCTCCCACACGGGTGCAGGGCCCAAGGACCTGGGCCATCCTCCTCTGCACTCCCGGGCCACAGCAGAGAGCTGGCCTGGTAGAGGGGCAACCGGGACAGAATCCGGCACCCCGACTGGGACTAGAACCCGGTGTGCCGGCGCCGCAAGGCAGAGGATTAGCCTAGTGAACCGTGGCACCGGCCTAGACCTTTTCCATACTTGCCCGGATGAGCTGTTTCTCGATGTGCTTAACTTACTAATCAATAGATACTTACATTTGCAGCCCTAACTCATATCCCGAAAAGTATATACAGTCATATCAAACGTAAAGTAAAAATCAGAAATGTTTTCCAGCAAAAAGAAAAAAAAATTACTGGGAAAAATATCCCTTTGATGCCCTTTTTTGCTCCCCTGCATATTATCATTTCCCAACTATCTTCCCTAACTTATTGACTTTTTAAAATTTTTAACCCTCCTCCACCTCACTCTAAAATTCACAAGGAAAAGAGTCCAGAGAAATGGGATTCCTTCCAATTGGCTGAATGGCTCACATCTGGATTAAATTTAGCATCTCAACTCCAGTTGTTCCCTTGCACAACAATCCAGCAGTCTGAATCCACACTCTGCTTCAGAAGGAACTCAGTCAGCGGGGGCTGCAAAGTCTGCATCTGGATACGCTGGAGGCGCCCCCATCCAAGGTTTCATGTGTTGAAATTTAACCCCCACTAAGAGGCATTGAGTGGACAGAAACGTAATCCAACTATGGCACTTAGAGGTCGGGTCTTTGGGAAGTGATTAGAACTAAATTCATTAGGGTAGAGCCCCAGTGGCTGAATCCTGGTGACTTTGTGAGAGGGAGGGAGACCGGACAGACACAAGGACATGCACTCCCTTGTCCGTGTGACGCTCTGACTCAGGACTCTGCCAGCAAGAAGGCCATCACCAGAAGAGGCCAGAGACCTTTCACCTCCAGAACTCTGAGTCAGAATAAACTTCTTTTCCTTAAAAGCAGCCTAGCCTCAGGTATTTTGTTATAGTAACAATAAATGGGCTAATACAAAATCAGTTATGTTACTGTTTTTTCCGCAAGCAAAATAAATCAATTTGGTTCAATAAAACATCTTCCTCCCTTTCCAAATCTTCTCAAAGTACAATTAACAAAGCTAAATAAAGGGATTCACACTGTTGCCACACATGGCTTTAAGCAATTTCTCACCATTCAACCATTTCACTGCCCACAAAAACATGAAGCCCCTGGTTGTTTGCTAACCTGGCCCCAAGCCTAGAAGCCGAGGAGCACTAACGGCTCCCTAAGACAGGCTCGGCTCCATCTGCACAACCCTTCTTCTCATTTCCTTGATCAGGTAAGGAAGTCATCACTCATATTCCCTGAGGACACAGGGGCATTTTGAAATTTTTGGCTTTTTCTTGTTTTCACGCTAAACGAAACTCTACTAAGCACTGCACATCACATGGATTAACACAACAAATGTGGTTTTCATGGAACTGAAGAAATTCTCCTCACTTCCATTAGGCCTTCTGGGTTTCTCCAAGTGGTCAGTGGTGAGAGAAACCACAAACTGAAGTGGATTCCTGGACGCTGGCTCCCTGAGGGCAGACACCCTCTGCCTAGGCAGCTTCGCCTCCTGGCACCAGGCACTCAGAGAAGCCAAGGCTTTATAGACATTTCTGCTCAGAACATCCACGTACTGACCTGACATCACTTTTTTTTTTTTTTTTAAGATTTATTTATTTGAAAGTCAGAGTTACACCCAGAGAGAAGGAGAAGCGGAGAGAGAGAGAGAGACAAACAGACAGTCTTCCACTTGCTGGCTCACTCTTGACCGTCGAGTTGTAAAGGGCAAAGTGGAACAATTCCTGAAGTGGGACAGTTTCTCAGATGAAGACGGTGCGTGGGAACCAGAAGGGAATCTGGATTGCCCTGACGTCATGCTGAGTTTCTGCAGTCAGAGAACAGCACAAGAGGCAGAGAAGTCAGAGGGAGGCCAGCGCCAAGCTGATTCTGATTCTGAAGATAAGATGGAAGAGAGCAAACCAAAGAAGAAGAAAGGAGTCTGAAAAGCCATGAGGCTTTGCCCAGGGTTGGAGCCGGAACTGATTACTGGAGCTACAGACTCAAGTTCCTGATGAAATGGAAAAACTCTGATGATGAATGAGGCTGACCTGGTCCCTGCCAAGGAAGCCAGTGCCACGTGCCCACAGTTGTCATTTCCCTCTACGAGGAAAGGCTGCCGTGGCACTCCTACCCCTCGGAGGATGACGACAAAAAAGATGACAAGAATTAACTCCCGAGTACCAGCCCATCACATCCGACTGTGGGTTTCAAGTGGGGAGGGAAGAAGTTCCCCTTGTCTGGACACCACAGCGGTGGTTTGAGAAGATGTCCTATGAAGAGCCACGACAGTTTCCGTGCCATGCGGCAGCCCAAGTGCTGTAAGCTGCTCCAAGCTATGCAGCCCAGTGGAGGGGGAGGGAGTAAGTGTTTCAAGGCAGCCCTTCTGTGCTTTGCTGAGAGAAGCCATAGGGCCTTCCATGAAGAATGAAACTTGCAGAATTGGGAGAACAAAAAGATACTATCATCTCCACATCCCACAGCCTTCTTCCCAATAGTGTTAACTCTGAATTTTTACAGCATAGCATGTGTGTAGTTTTTGGCTCTTGCTGGTGTATTATTTGGGGGAGGGAGGGAAAGGGAATAGGGCTGGATTATTTTGGGGATCATTCTGGGGCCTGACTGGGGAAACTGTGAAACAGTAGGAAAAAAAAAACCTGAGGATTCAGTTCTATGTCCAGGATATTTCACCTTTTCAAAAAAATGTTACTGACACCATAAATGGGGACTGCAAGGGACTGTTTAAAGGCTGTGAGTGTAGAGGCCAACCCTGTGGCATAATGGATAAAGCTACCCCCTGCAGTGCCAGCATCCCATATGAGCGCCAGTTTGAGTCCCAGCGGCTCCACTTCTGATCCAGCTCTCTGCTATGGCCTGGGAAAGCA